AAGTGCAATAAGGAAACACAGAATGAGGAATAGCAGCAGCAAAAAGCTCAACTCCATGTTATTTGCGCGGACGATGGGGGTGTTTCTAAAGAAGATGAACACCCCAGAAACAGCTGTGGTGACACAGGCTCCAAGTGTCGACACCACTGTCAGTACCATGCCCATTGACTCAGAATAGGACAAGAACTCCACCTCTTTTGGGATGCACTGGTCTCTTGCTTTGTTTGACCACGTCTCCAGTGGGCATTTTGTACAATCAAGAGAGTCTGTTGGGGAGGAGAGAATAAAGAAATAAGTACCTCAGAGAGTGCAAAATCATTTTCTATATAGTGCTATAAAATAATACTGAAAATTCAGAATGTGCAGGAAAGATTTGTTTTCAACTATCAATAAACTACTGCAATCACATGCAGTCCTTCACCTGTCTGACTGCTGATCTCCCCATCAGCACATGGGACACAGTCGAAGCAGCAGACAGGCTGTCCCCTGCGAGTGGCCTTTCTTGAACCTGGAGAACAACTGTCACTGCACACAGACCGAGGGACCTACAGGGGAGCAGTGAAACCTACTCACAAATCACACATTGTAAAAAGCATGGTGTCAAAAAGCCTCTAGTTTATTACAAGAAATCTAAATAGGAATGAAAATACTGTACAGCGGCGTCATTGATTTCTCTGATTCAGTCATTTATGAATTTCGTTACCTACTGCATGCAACAGATTCTGACCACTTTCAGCTCTATTTGCAACTACTGCATTTATACAGTGATGGCCTCCAAGTATTGACATTTCCACCCACAGCATAACTAACTGCATCCCAATAACATCATTACACTGTTCTTCTGAGTTACACAAGTAACTTTGAAGACTTCTGATAAAAATCTTCCCCAACAGTCACAGAAAACCCATTACATTAATTGTCTTTATCAAGCATAATGGTAGTATTCCTTTTTATAAAAGCACAGAAAAATAGCAAAAGAAAAGGGCCTATTGAGCTCAGCAAAGTGTGACACGCAAAGTACAGATAATTTCAAAGTAACACTAATTCACAAAATTATTTTTCACAACTTAGCAGAGCTACAAGCCTAATTTCCAATAAACATAACATGGAGTTAAGGATCATGATTTGTTTTGCAACTAGCCAATTCTATTACTTCCTAAATCTACTGAATAACAGACTGTGAGAAATTGAATTAAAAAAAGGAATTGAAAAACTAATGTGTCTCTATTTCTATTGCAGACTATAAAGAAATTACACAAAAAAAACTCATTTCTGAAGCTGAAGGTTTCTAGAATATCAAAAACAAGTTTAGAAAAACTGAGAATGTATTACAGCATCATTTTGAAGTCTGGTCTCAAAAACTGTTGAACGACAAGGTTCTCCAAATGTTTTCTAAAATTGTTATCGTGGATGTGAAAGTAAAACATACTGTAACGCTCCAGGGTTCACATGGGTATGCACCCTCACCTCTGCC